CCGGGCGCGCGCTCTCCCCGCAGAAGCACGGCTTCGCAGACGATCCTCCTCACCCCACATCGGCGGCCCAGCAAGGCCGCGATTTTTCTCGAACGAAGGAGGCGGGGTCAGACCGAGTGAATCATCCTCCGGAGAGGGCAGTCGAACCGTCTCGTGCCTCTCCCCAGCCTTCGCTGCATATCGCGCCGACGAAATGACGAGAAACATCTGGAAAGTCGCGCGCAAGGTATTTAACCGAGCAGCCGAGACGAGAAATCAGGAGGAGACGGAAGTTAACGCCAGAGCGCGTAGGGATTCCGCCGTGTAGTCGGCGAAGGTTCTGCCCGTAGCGACAGAACAGGAGGAGACGGAAGTGAGCGCCAGAGTGCGTAGAGAGTCCGCCGTGTAGTCGGCGAAGTTTTTTGGTCCGTAGGGACGGCTCGAGCTACAGGCAAGAGCGTGGGTTTACCGCTACCGAGCGAAGACGCGGGCAACAGCTGCGTGTGTGAAGCCGACGGATTTCCGGCGGAGAAGTTTGAAGCTTGGAGAGTGGCCATTTGAGGACGCGAGGTTTCCTGGAAGAGAAACTTCGAGGGCTGCGGAACGACAACAACGCTGGACATTGAGTGAGTGATTCTCGGAAGAGTATCATTCAGACTTTTGTTCCAAGGACTTTGGACTGAATAGGTTTTATATCTCTTTAGTCTTTAAGTGTCTTGGTTGTTCAATGCATGCGACTGCATTGTAGTGCGTATCGTTGTCTGTGTCCGTTGTTTTGAGTGTGGCTGACTGTACTGTGTAGTACGTTGTTTGATTGGTGACGTATTGTATGTAACTATTGTGGAGTGTGCATTCTTGTGTGTTGTTTTCGATCTGCCATTTCTGAGAATATAATATTTGTTTTGTTTATCAACTCTCGGCTCTGACTTGTTCTTTGGACCACAGCCGGCGTCCGCTGGCGCACCAATAAGGACCACTCTTAAATTGTCCACGCTTTCGTGGTGCGTTTCGGGGGGCCGATACTTCGGCTCTTGGAATTAGCCCGGCGATCGCCTCCCTAATAAACGGGACAGGTGTGGCAACAGATCAGCCTACCAATACTAGGCCGGCCGAAAGACAAGTTACACTCGTCCGTCATAGACCGACACAAAAGGGCAAGACCAGTGCCAAAGAAATTCCTCTTCACCGAGGAAGAAGAGCTCCTCCGACAAAACAGACAGCAGCTCCGAGTACAATCGTTCTAGGATCGGGTAGAGCGCGCGGCGGCGGCGGCTCGCTGCAACCGCCTCGCAGCGGTTGCGCCAGAGGCAGGAAGCGCCGGCAACAATGAGAAGAGAAGCGAAGCGGCCTCGCGAACAACGCCCAGAAGAAACGAAGCGATTTACTCTGAGGCAGTGAAATCCGGCATGTACGGCTCTCCAAAAAAACGCGAGCAATGATACAATGCCTCTGAAAATGCTGATTTGTTTCCCGAAGGGAGCAGTTCGGACATGTTGCTGACTGGACTATTCTCCACCTTTCGAGGCGGTCGAGAGTGGGAAGTACACCCCATCCCAGGCGCCACATGAAATCCCGAAGGTGTTTAGGCAGAAAAGAAGCCGTTAAGGAGCTCCAAGACACCCGTCTAGAGCGAGCACGGCGGGCTGCCGGGACCAACGGAAGCAACAAAGTAGCAGTTGTCTCAACTATGTGGTTGTTCAAAACATCTATGCCTGGACAGCTCGACTTGACATGGCGAAAAAATGCAACAGTTGTTGCATAAAACGCAGGAAATGTTATTGACTGTGGCCCCCTGTTAAGTTGCACATTAGGCATCAAATGGCGAAAGTAAGTACCCAAAAAGTAATATGCAAGCGTTCGTGCCAACTGGGGAGGGGGGGGGGGGTTAGAAAAAGCGGGTAACGATTTAGAGCACAGGATACTCTACTATGGGAGAGCTTAAAGCCGTCTCCAATGAGGGGGGGGGGGGGTTCAATGAGTCAGAACAAACGCACGTTTATTGAGAAAGTGAGAAGTAAAAGAAAGTCGTTGCAACGGAAGCAATTGCCGATTCTAATTCATCTATAGCCAACCCTGATATAGAAGCCGTACAATATACACCACCATCTAGTCCTCCTTGGGCCAATCTTAATTCTGAAGCACTGCCTCGCTAGAAAGATAATGGATCAAGGCGCGCAACCATGTTCATGATGTTTCGTCTAGTTATTTGGAGCTTCTCGGTAAAAGCTTTTTGGTCTAGACCCCGGCGTAAATGAGCCCAAAAATCACACTCACCTAGAGAAGAAACGCCATCGTTCTTAGGAAAAGCGGCATCATTCCCTTCAAGAATCATGCACGTACTTGTACGTACCTACTGTTCAGTCATCCGTGTGCCATATATACATACTTCTAGATGGGCAATTTATTTCTAAGCCTACCACTGTTATTTAGATTGCATCATCGTTGCATTCTCACTTTTAGCCGTTTATTCCCTTATTTTCTGGTTTCATCTTCCTTATTGTGCTCCTTTCTTGATATAAGTACCAATGGGTTAGTTCTCTGTTGTGCCTATTTTACTGTTTCGCGCGCAATTGTGGGCCTATAAATGTCTTGTATTTTCTTTAATACTCAATCTGACCTTTTACTTTGCCCGCTTGAGTACGGAACCACCAGCCGTCAGTCACACCTTCTTGAAGATATCATGCCGGTAGTGATGTGTTCTCAATCGTAGCAGTTCTCTGGTACAAAATAAAGTCTCGTAATATGAAATACAGTATGCATCTCCCCTACGTTAAGGATTTCGTGGGCGAATAAACTCTGCGAAACGTTGGATATCATTTTGGTGAAAATTCCACCGTCGTTTTCGGAGATGTACGTCATGCACTCAGTATGAAATGTTAATGCAAGCAAAAGGAAATTACGATGATATTCAAATAAGAGACTCACAAGTAAGCTTACCAGTTCGCTCGCATCTGTTGTTTCTCAGCTTATCACATATGTGTGAACAGTGCTTCACACTGTGTTAGAGTTTGCTGTGCCTAATTAGTTCGAGGGTCCTAACATAATATTTCTGTCAACTGAACCTCCACCAAGAGAAAATTGAGAGTTCTTAGCTTTTAGCCGAATCAGAACCACATTTTACATTGGTTTGACACACTGGTGACCATGAGGATAACATGTAGTGTGACTCACAAGATAATACACATTCAAAGTAAACGCCCAATCACTGTGTAGCGAAATGCAGTGAGCTGTGACTCTCGCTATGCAGCTATTTCATGCGCTTGCCGACAAATCGTCAAGGTCGTTAAAAGCTCCTGCGCGTCATATTTATAATAAACGCCAAATTCTGTATATGTTTTTGTTTAGACGCCACTACGCCGAGGTACCTTCAATGAAAATATTCCCGGTTGATACCTCTGGTCGTACTGGATTACTAGATGTTTTTACTCACTGGCCTGAGGCTTGGCAAATTCACATTGGGGTTGTTTACGTTCTTGTGGTATTCAATAATGTGTCTTAAGCTGTTCGGTGCAGGCTTTTTGAAACGCCTTCTCAATTTAAAAGTTACCTTTTTATATATATGTAAAAAAATCCTTCTTTAACGTAGTCGCCACTTCCACGGAATAATATCTGGTCAGCTTACGGCATTGATGAAAAAACATGTCACTGGTCTATGTCAAAATAAAACTAAATGACGTATCGGGATCCGTACGGACCTCGTGTTCACAAATTCAGGGGGAACACGAGATTTATGTGGTTCCTGAAACATTATTTTTTTACATTGGTCACTGAAATGTTGTTCTTTCGACCAAATTTCTGTTATTGCTGCCCCATGTTTTATTGAGTCGAGGCTTTCTTGAGAGACATCGTTCATTCGGGTACACAATTTTTTCTCTTGCAAAACTTTTCCCCGGCTATCAAATATAACAAAACAGCAGAACCCGACACATTCCTTCATGTTAAAAACCTTTAGAATGGTAGGGTTGGTTCTCTTTGTGTTTAACGGCAACAGTTAGGCGCTTTTTACAGCTTAGCCAGGGCCAACGAGTATTCTATAAAATTTACAATGGTGCCTGTACACAAAAGCTTATCATTTCACGTGTTTGTGCAGCGCATTGTGTCACTTCACGCGTGCACTTGTTCTACATCTCTCTTAGTGGGCTTTCCCAATTTTCGTACAGCTATGTGAGGGTAGTTCGTTTACGGCATGCAAGCACGGTGTTTAGAAATTGCAATTTAAGAGAATTATATTGTTATGTGACAGCACTGTTTTTGTGCTTTTCATCGCGTTGATGGTGGTGGTGGTGGTGGCCAAACTTTATTTATTGTCTGGCAAATTAGTGGCCCGGGCTCAAGTCTCACATGTAGGGACGTCAAGGCCTTGCCTCACCGCCGCTTCACGGGCCTGCTGGACTGCCCAGAGTTGGTCGGCGAGCTTGAACCTCCGCAGAGCGGCTTCCCACCTCGCCGAAAGAACATCGAGAATAATACGCTTTGCTTAAGCCTCGTATTCACAGAGCATGTGTGTTAGCCTAGCTGTGTCTGTCTGGCAGACCTTAAAGATGTTGGTGCTATTGATCTCGGGGTATATGTCTGAATATATGTATATGTCTTAATAGTCTGAATGTCTGAATATATGTAAATGTCTCAATTGACATTTACCAACTCTGCGTAGTTTGTCTTTATTGATTTCATTCACCACTATGCCTTTGAGATGTCCTATCATCGGTGAAAAGATCTAGTCTGCTCTAAACAAATGCATCGCCATTTTTTCATATAAAATAGCAAAGGAAACCCCCGAATTGGACTATGTATGAACCTATGACGAAGCTCGAGTTCACTTGTTATAAAGACCTGCAGATAGTTAGCTTAGTTGCTTGCAGAAGAGACCCAAAGCACGTGATTCATTTCAAGACATCCCCATTATCTAAATTGTGATTTCGGCTTCAATTACTAGTTTCGAGAGCTGGTGCTCTAGTAGATGATGACATGCAAGTTTTGTAGTGGCAATCTCTCACTACCTTTTCTTTTGAACCCTTCAGGGCTGGCCATTCAGTGGGGTGCAATCGGTGACGTTGGTGTACTCCATGATAACCTGGGTGAGGACGTTGCAGTCGCTGGACTTGAGCAACAGTCAATAAAGTCCTGCATGGCGGTGATGGACGCATTTCTTAGCCAAAGCCATCCCGTTGTTTCGTCGTTCGTCAAGAAGAGCTCGTCTATGGCAGCAGATTGCAAGGATAAAGGCGATCTTGTTGAAGCCGTAGCACATATCCTTGGTAAGTGAACGAAATATTTCCATCAAAACCGTATGAATGTTTTTTACCGACTCTAGCATTCGAGCCCTGTTGCTTGAGGTTTGTGAGCCTGCCTTTGATTCTGATAAAATACTCGATTGATTGCACTCAGCCGGCAGCACAGTCATTTAGTAGGATCAACATAAGAAGTGTGGTTTAGAAAAAGTAGCTAACGATTTAGAGCACTAGGTGCTCTACTGTGAGTTTAGAAAAAGTGGTTAACGATTTAGAGTACTCGGTACTCTACTATGGGAGAGCTGAAAGCCGTCCCGTGGGTCTTACATCATATCAAGAGAAGCCTCGGATACGCACGGAGTCCGTGTATTGGAACTGTGAGCACCTCAGGGGAACCATTTTTCGCGGGAAGAGCGATTTGCATTTCCAAATCGCTCTTTCCCATCGTTTCACAGGGCCTGTGAAACAATTCAGGTTACTTCGCAATAGGAGTTCCATTCCTAATAAAATGGGGAATTGGGTGGACTTCACCCTTATGTTTCTCTTCTATGTTTCTTTTTTGTCTGCTCTCTCTTTATTTTATTTCTTTTTTTATCTGTTTGTCTCAATTTGTTTCTCTTTTTTTCTTATCTCGTTCTCTCTTTCTATTTCTCTCAGACTTACCATTTTCTTATCTTTTTTCTCACTCTCTATACATTTCTTTCCCTTTTTGGAGGCCTGAGTTCAAGCTTTTGCAACTTTTCACAACTCATGTGGGCACAAGGTGGAGGTCAGCCTAACTAACCAGATTGCAAGACTCAATACTGATGGCTATTGCCACTGCGCCCTCACACCCTTTTGTGATAGGCCCCTGCAAGAAGTAAACTGCAACTAAACAGGAGCAAAATAAAAACAAAAGATGAAAGACCATTTCTTAATGTACTGTACGTACATAGACCATTTCTTAATGTACTGTACGTACATAAGGTGCCTCACAATGCAGGGGGGTGAGAGGGAAAGCGGGCAGATGTGATATCAATTTGTTGTTTTCCTCCCCTTGCATGCTTGTGATAGTGCGTCTCCTAATAGCAACAAGACTATACTGCGTTTCATACATGAGATGCGACGCTATGAAAGTTATGCAAGAATTTTGGTCAGCAATGTGTGTGACGACGCGCCTCTCTTGTGACTTGACTTTATTCGTTGTGAACGCTCGCACGAGATGAGCACGCATGACCACGCATAACGACCCAAAAATTCAGAAAATGAAACCTCAAGAAATGAGAACGAACAGACGTGAAGTGAACCAGGAAAACTAAACTGACAGCCGTACAACGAGGTTTCTTTTTCTCCGACGCATATCCATTTATTACAAAGCTCAATGAGTTAAAGCAGTCAAATCTGAGATGAAAAAATCGTCATTCCATTTCTTAGTGCGAACGCATTCATTGCAAAAAGCTTCGCCACTCTACAGCGTTGCACGTTGTGTAAGACACGACGTGTAGTCAACTGTATAACGTTCGCCATAAACACAGGTTTGTTGTTTGGTGCTCAGATGTCATCTGCGAAATACCGTTGGCCTCTGGAAAGATATACGTAGGGCAAACATGGCAATTGCTTAATGATCGAGTGACACAGCATACATACAACATTAAAAATGATCACGGTAACCACTGACTGCGCACTGCAGGGACTTCGAGAACCATGCCCTATTTCACGTAACAAGGTTTTTCAAAAAAGTGGATATGAAAAATGAAAGGGACATTAAAGAAGTGTTTTTATTCGGAAGGCCGCGGTTCGATGGAAAAACTCACTCTCGCTTCACCCATCTGCCACACAATATTCATTAGATTAACAATTATGTTATGCATAACATAACTTAGTAACGCACGCGAAGTGGTTTGGCACCCCGTCAAAAAAGTTCGGTGAATCACGTTCCATAAAATTCAGCTGTGTGTGGTTGAACTCTGCTGTTCTTTCGTACCGTTATACATTCCCTACTTATGCCTTCATGGTGCGGGATGAGGACTTGTTTTCCTTACCTCACAATAATTAATGTTATTGCGCTGTACCAACCTTACTCAGAATAAACCACCTCGTCCAAATCAAGTCCAAATCAAGCTATTCTTGTATACACATCAAAAGTTAATCATGTGTCACTCGTTATCGAGGCGCACGCTGAGGAAAATCGAAGAAAAACATGCACGTCAACACTCCTCGTGCCTGTCTTCATACGCCAGCACCATGGCAGGGCACCTGTGTGCACTCTACGATGCTTTCTCATAACATTACGTGGGAGTCTCATGAACAGAAGAAAGGTATCAAAGAACCGTAATAGAGGTGAATAACCACTCCATTCAACTTGTGTAACAATTCACATCTGCTCCTCCATTTATTTTTGCTTGGAAACACACCCTTGTTCTACCCTGTATCGCCTTTCATGATACGCAGATTCAATCTTTCACGGGTAAGGAGACACGCAATGAGGTTGTTGATGTATTTGTCCCAATCATAATGATACAGATAAAATAATTTTCAGGGTCATTTCAAATGCTAGCTTAGTCTGTTTATCAATGTGAGGGCTAAAATGTGACGTTCTGGAATGCAGCGTACCTTTTCTTTTTTTTTTCTTTTCGCACAGCCATGCCTAATTGCTGCGATAGCAATTACGTGCGCAGTTCAGGCGCAACTTTTTCTTGTCACTATCGTCGTTGACGTCTCCGTCGGTAGCCGAGTGGCTTATGAAGGTGCAACCCCTGACAGTGAGACAAGAATTTTAAAATTGGTGTCTCTCCAGTAGGACTGGCACAGTCTGTTGTTGTGACCACTTCATCATTGTTGATCTACGTAATGTCTGGGAATAGGCAATAAAGCACAGAAATAGATTGCGTATTAATCGCAAGGGCGGTATCAGCGTCCCGCAAGTCCTATGTTCTTTACGCGAGGGAAACGACTTGATGCCAGCCGACGATCGCGATTCAAGCTGATGGGAAACGCGGCCACTGTCTCGCGTCACACGAAAAGCCCAAGAAAGAGGTATCGGATGGTTGGCTGCGTCGCTTCGGTAGGAACTACGAACTTTCAGTAGTCTCACGCATTTTTACTTTGGTAGAGATTAGCAAACGACTCATACTTATTTTAGGCACATTATGCCGACTCACCTAGTTTAGACCGCGCAGTTCAGGCACTTTATGTTTTATACACTTTAACTTCGGAGACTTTTAGGCTGTTACGCACCCGCTAAACGCCACCACTAATCGAATCCTTGCCTATGACTCGGTGCTCTTAGGCCAACAGTGTCCCTTGCACCGTAAAACTCCCGCGTCATCATCATTGTATTCCAGGCGCTTATAACTACTCTATCATTGTATTATATGTGCGAGTTCGGCCTTCCACATGACCAAAATTTTTGGATTCCAAACTTACGGCGCATAACTGTCCTGCGTACAATGTCCCTTAAATCGTAAGATGTAAACCTACAAAATTAGCAGCCACTATTTTTTAAATCATTTAAGGCAAAAATTTCCGCTACAACACAATTCTGGTGAAAAAAGAACGAGCATGAGACGATGGAATACTGGACCACGCTAAGTGCCATGTTTTATCTTTTCGTCCCACCTCCTTTGTTGAAATAATGATACCCAAACGTAATGCACTAAGGTAGTGGTAATTGCACCTTCCCAACACGAAACAACAGAGCTAACAAGCGAATAAAACAATCTGTTATAAGTTGACTTCAATCTGTGGTCGTTTGACAACAAGTACACTCACGTATACAAGAGCGCGTCATTTCGTGAAATTTTTTAGGCTACAGAAATCGATAACGTAAAAAGCCAAATGAGAAAGGGTCAGTTATATTGTGAATTCTTTAACAAATTTTGAACGGTTTTTTCACGGCATCAAAATTTATGAAAGAATATTTTGACTTCCTGTGCAGACGCCTACGACACGTAAACGATAGTTGATTCCCCGAGTATAGTGTATGCTGGGAATGATGGGGAAAAAAGTGTCAGTGTTGACGGTTAGGAATGTGCGCTTTTTTTCTAGGCATTAAAGACTCATCCACGGTAAACCCAAGCGTAACCCTCGGCGAGTTGGGCATTGACTCGCTGATGACTGTCGAAGTAAGGCAGCTGTTGGAGCGAGACTATGACGTTGCCCTTTCCATGCAAGAAATACGACAGCTCAGCGTAGCCCAACTTAGAGAGATCAACGAAACCTGCATCGAGAGAAAAGGGATGCCGGACAGCTGCAACGCTGTAGAAACAAACCATGGTAGGCTGTAACGTCATGGCTTCCACGCTACGATAATAATCATTTCTTTAGCGTGCACATGCAACCACACCGCCATACATATACACATTACGTGGACAACAGCATACTCAGTAGTAGTAATTTGACCTTAAAACAATAAATTCATCATTTTCTCGTGTCTACTATAGCATGTCACAATTTCTATGAGCTTCCTCAGGGTTAGAGAAGAGAAATGAGTCAATGATCGAAGTGATGGAAAATAAAACATGGGGTGTGCATGGCACTACATTCCGTGTGCACCGCGGTGCAGTTACGGGGCACTTGAGTGGATTGACGTCATAGAGTTTCCTACCATAGTTACTAGAAGAAACTCTGGTGCTAGTGTCTACGGGAGCTGCAGAGCGCGGTACTTTGACGATCATGAGAATGACGGGTAGTACACAGATTTGTCTAAACTTCATTCTTTTCGCTCCGCTTGGCTTCGCGTAGCGTAGAGCTTTTTGTCGCGATGCGACAATGAGCAAACGTTAGGCAGGTATGCTTCACCGCCTGAACCGTTTAGGCTCACCAATTCAAATTGGGTCACGACACTGGCGATGATTCGTTCGTTCATTTGGAACAAAATAAAAGGTTGGGAATCAACCTAGCCACAAATGGATTAAATATAAAGCCCGCAAGCACGAAGACAAGGCAAATTTGTATACTACCCGTCATTCTAATGGTGGATGAATGATTGCAGCGCCGGAGTACCTTCTGGTTAACTTAACAGCTCTCTATTAGGAAACTCTATCGATGACATGAACGACAGCGCATTGTCACACACTGCGGTATCAATAGATGGCCATAATAAAGAGATATAATAAGGAACGAGGCGCGTCCTTGGCCTTCAGCCAGACATTCATTTGTTATGCTGATTTTTTAGTTTTAGTTTTCTAAATTCATTCGCTGGTTCAGGTTTTTATCATCTCCGTTTCTGTCACACATCCAACAAGTCGGCTCACACTTTTTTATTCTGTTAATATTTGTCACGTAAACGGTAAGAGATACAACACCACTTGTCAACTTTGCCTCTGGTCCAATAATTACTGGTTAAGTCTCGAACTAGAAAAGTTAATATCATTTTTGTTGCACTTCCTCCTGGTGACCAAGAATTATTTTTTTCTTTTCTTTTTGTTTTACTTAGCATCGTTGAAATATGACTGAATCATTCGGGTACACCATCACTAAAAGAGCTATCGATGTTGGAGGCCTTTCGGTATGCGTCATGCAGTTTTCAGTTGCCTGTCATTTTAGGCAAACACCGTATGGCGACCCACATACAATTTCATGAGTAGAACTAGTCGCAAAATAAATTTACAGTTCCATGGAGCTTTTGCAAATAGCTGAACTGCTAGTCCGTTGGCTATACAATCAAGTGCCAATTGATCGCCTTAAATTATGCGTGTTCTATATATATATATATATATATATATATATATATATATATATATATATATATATATATATATATATATATATATATATAAGATCTAACATACAGTAATGCCAAGGAATGTACAGGGGAAGTTATTAGAACCAATAGAATGTAAATAAGAAGAAAGGAAAGCGGATGAAAAAATAACCAGCCGTGAACAGGAATCGAACCTACGACCTTCGAATAACGCCTTCGATGCTCTAACCACTGAGCTACCACAGCGGTCTTCCCTCCATCCACTTTTTCGGGGTTTATATGTGAATTTAGAAGTAGGAGTGACAGTCAGCGCCATCTATAAGCCAAACGACGAGTGTGAAAACACTCTTATGCGCATGTTTGGCGTCACGTAGCACGTGAACTTATAATGAGCGGGCAGCTTATTAATTGTCCCTCTTATACAACATAAACACACCAAGTCTGCCAGTACGAGACCCTCGTTCAATGAAATAAGGGAAAGAAGTGTATACCTAAGGGCTCGTTTTTCCGTGTTTTAACACAATAATAATGAGATCTAACAGACAGTAATGCCAAGGAATGTAGAGGGGAAGTTATAAAAACCAATGGAATGTAAATAAGAAGAAAGAAAAGTGGATGAAAAAATAACAAGCCATGAGCAGGAATCGAACCTACGACCTTCGAATAACGCGTTCGATGCTATAACCACTGAGCTACCACAGCGGCCTTCCCTCCATCCACTTTTTTTGGCTTTATATGTGAATTTAGAAGTAGGTCGTAGGTTCGATTCCTTATATATATATATATATATATATATATATATATATATATATATATATATATATATATATATATATATATATATATATATATATATATATATATGGTAGGGCGGCGCTTAAAAAATTGAACATACCAGCGTATTAAATGAACTGTTGTATCTTCTTAGTACAGAAGTTCTATACCTGGCACATCATGAGCTTACTTTCTGCTTTACTCATCTGCAGATATTCCCCGCGACGTGGATGAAGAAATGGCTTTATAAAGGTGCAATACTTCTCAACCACGACCATCAACATTCGAGAATCAAGAAGTATTGTATGCATTTACGAAATGCATGTCTGGAATCGTAACAGGACGCAATATATCAATAAAATGTGAATGCGCTGCGATAGCGCAGATCTCAACATGGTATTAGCACGTTTGCCACAGGAACGAGCACCACTTATGACTTCAATTCTTAGTTCCTTGTTCTGGTGGCACTGATCCCAAAAACGCATATTTTATTCGGGCGAAAACACACGAATGAAGGAGAATGATGTGCTCGAGAATGCACTAATTGGCCCAAATGAAAAGTTTACCGGGAAGCGAACTGGAGAGGCGAGCGAGATGGTACTGATTCATTACGGCGTAAACGTAGCGCAAAAAAAAAAAAAAGACGAGGACAAGAAAGCGAATACCACAAGCGCTTACTCACAACTGAAAGTTTTATTGCTTGAACCGAAAACACATAACATGTAAACTTGACGCTCAAATAAATTTTGCAGCATGCGCTTCCAGGAGGTGTTTTCTTCTTTTGGTTTCTTGTCATTTTGCCTCACCTACGACGCGCATGCGAGGGGTTTAGTCGAGCGCAAGGAGGAAAAAAAAATCTGGAGTGGAAGCTCCCGCAATGCCTTGCCAGCAGAAGCGAAGCCAGCTTTTGCCACTGCCAATATATCGGAAACACGCTCCTTCCTGATAGTGGCCACTTAGAGATCGAGTGGTTTTGATATGTTAGTGTAAATTTACGTTAGTTTTTTTTATTAAAAGATAGTCGCTTCAGACGAAGTAACACACAGAAACGAGTATTGGTGACTGAATTTCCCAACAACTCTGCCTTCAATACAGGTTCACTAAAGAAAACTAGTAACTCTAAGACGCCCTTGGAGCACTATGTGACCTAAAAAAGTTTCCCCATTACACTCGTTAGGCGTGTGAAGTAAACGCTCTAATTTTAATCGCTGAAGGGTGATAGTTTATCATGCCCTTAGTTAGATGGCAGCCGCAGCTGCCGTCTTGCCAGAGGCATGGCTACACTCCTAGGCAATCATTTTCAGTCATGCAATTTTTTTTTAAATTCTCTTTGGTTGAGCGTCGAGTTCAGATGTAATTTTTTTTTATTCAGGCGAATAAAGCTTTACGTTCTAATTAGGCGCTTTTGAGTTTCGCTTTCTTGCGCTTGTCTTTTCACAGCAAAAGCTGTTATGAGGTCACAAATCGGGTCTGGTGCAGCGCGGTAGTTGTCCGCCACCACCAGCGGTGTCCATAACTAGATCGCACGAAATTATAAAGAAAAAGAAAATATGGCAGATCCCACGTACAGTGGTAATTGATGATATGTGAAGCACGAATGAGAAATGTTGATATGTCACTTTAAAATCAGCACAACATTACGAGGTGGAGGTGAATGCCGCCGTAGATGGCTTCCGTGTCATGATTATCATGTTTGGATGGGTCGTTTACCTTTGTCATCTGTTCACGTCACGTGATACCGAATTTAGTGTATGTCGAGCTAGCGAGATGGCCGAGAGCTCGCCATGAGCGTGGTATGTTGTCATGTTCTTACATGACACGTGTGTCAAGATTATCATGTATGCATCAGTCATATACTTTGTCATCTATTGACGTCACGTAACACCAAGCTTGGTATATGTGGAGCTAGCGAAACGGCCGCGAGCGCATCATAAAGCGTCCAATATACTCCAACGTAGCGTTGACGCGCGCGCATGCTGGGCACAGCGACGCTACGTTAGGAAAACGCGAGCACTCTATAGGCTGACGCCAGGCGCGACCACCATCCATCGGCGCGGCCCGACAGCAACCGGCGTGAAACACTACATGCTGCACTTCGCGCCGACGCGTTACCCAGACAACACTGCGTCTCCCTCTTTTCTGGACTAAAGGATGCCGGACGCGCTCAAACGTGCATGCGTCAAAGCAACGCAGCGCGGCCCGCGCCTGCGAGTATATGGCAGGACCGGCGCCTGGCATGGCAACGCCGGCCTGAGGTGACGAAAGGAACGCCGGCGAGCACACGCACCGCGTCACGTCGAAATGTATTGGCGCCTAGACTGTGACACGTAGTCCTGTTATGACATGACATGCATCTCATGATTATCATGTTTGCACCAGTCACATACCTTCGTCACCCATCGTCGTCACGTAATGCCATATTCGGCATATGTGAAGCTAGCAAAACGGCCGCGAGTGCATTATCAGTTTGGCTTGTAGTCATTTTGTTACATGACACGCATGTCGTGATTATCAGGTTTGGATGTGTCATATACCTATGTCGTTCATTCGCGTCGCGTCATACTGAGCCTGGTACATGGGAAGCTAGTCAAACGGGCGCGAGCGCATAATGGGCGTAGTAGGTAGTCATGTTGTTATAAGGCACGCATCTCATGTTTATCATGTTTACACCAGTATCATACCTTCGTCATCCATTCACGTCCCAGAATACCGAGTTTGGTGTGATGCTCTTGAAACGGCCGCCAGTGCTCATGAGTGTGGCATGTAGTCAAGTTGTTACATAACACGCATCTCATCA